ACTGAAAAGTATTAACCTCAGAACTGATATCAGCTACGAGAAACTAGACAAATGCTAATCACACTACTGATATTAGCTACGTACAACTGAAAAATATTAACCTCAGAACTGATATCAGCTACGAGAAACTGACAAATGTTAATCACACTACGTACAGCTGAAAAAAAAAAGAGTTTAAACGCTCAACAAGTAAATTTTCGTTTGTTTCATACAGTGTTTCTCAACCTTTTCCAATATTATTCACTCCTATAAGTCTTTCACACCAGTTCACTCACCCCTGACCGAAAAAACAAAGAAGTACTAAATTAAAATGTAAAATTCTATATTATGACTTAAATATAGATCAAACTACACCTAGAATAAATACAACATAAAATAAATGTATTTATCAAACTACACCTAGAACAAATACAACATAAAATAAATGTATTTATCAAACTACACTTAGAACAAATACAATATAAAATAAATGTATTTATCAAACTACACCTAGAACAAATACAATATAAAATAAATGTATTTATCAAACTACACCTAGAACAAATACAACATAAAATAAATGTATTTATCAAACTACACCTAGAACAAATACAATATAAAATAAATGTATTTATCAAACTACACCTAGAACAAATACAACATAAAATAAATGTATTTATCAAACTACACCTAGAACAAATACAACATAAAATAAATGTATTTATCAAACTACACCTAGAACAAATACAACATAAAATAAATGTATTTATCAAACTACACCTAGAACAAATACAACATAAAATAAATGTATTTATCAAACTACACCTATAATAAATAATAACTAATGACTTTTTGTTCTTCAATTTGTTGTATAATTGATAATACTCATTCACCTCACCATTCTCATTCACACTGATTCTGAACTCAATAACCCTTGTGTGAACCACTCACCCAGTTGAGAAGCACTGGTTTAAAAAATCGTATCAGTACGAAACGTTAACGAACGTAAATACAAGGTGAAATATGCAGGTGTATGTTTTGAAACTAAATTAGCAAAAATTCATGACCAGTATACATTAATTTCCATTTCATTACATTAATAGCATTTTAACATGCAAAGATGTAATGTATATCCGTCCAAAATAGTACCAGATCATTTCAAGCTGATTCGTTTCCTTATAACTCTATGGCAACCACAATGTTAATGAATTTTTCTCTTATTTTGTATTAAGATGAGTGTATTACAAACTATTTTACAAATTAACTTAAAACCACTGTTACATGATTTAATTCCGTTGAAACAGATTTTATAGTTTATCATTTACAAACAGACTTTCTTGTCGTTGTATGTATTTTACGCCCAAAGCTAAACAAGGGCTAGTTGGTTATAGCCGTTCACAGTTTTGAAATGTTGGATTCTTGTATAAATGAATAACTGTCACTTCTATAGCTCACATACAGCTCCCAAGAGCGAAGAGGTTTTTTTTTTTTCGGCAACGGGATGCGACCCGTGAACCCTCGAGTTCAAAGAGACTTGCAAATTAAGAAACAAAAATGCTAGTTTAATATTGGAATGTGTTCAGTGATAAGAAAACAAACACACTAACGTCTTGCTTCACAGATGATCTGATAAATGTAAACACTTGTTATTGGTCACAGTTCTTTAGTGCAGACGTTTTTTTATACTGATATCTTCCTGGATAAAAGCCAAGAGATATCTCGTGATTGAGCCAAAATATCCCTGTTGGCAAAAAGAGGGCTTTTTAATTCGCTTTAAATATCATGGGAATACTTCTAGGTCAAAAAAAGGAAACGTTCCCAATCTAACCAGTAGCTTAAAAACAAGTTTTACTTGAGGCTAGGCATGTTTACTAAGTTTGTCAGTTTTTTATGTCCTTATTCAAACCAAGATGCTCTGAATATGAAAAAGCCGACGTAATTACTTTTATTCTGTTTTTAAGTTATAACCATGCTGATCATTTAATGGATAAATATAATAAAATTATTACTAAATAATAATGGGGAATTGATCTGATAATACACTTATTAATAAAGTACTTCAAAAGTTAAAAAAAAACACACCTTTGATTCTTAAAATGTTAAATTCTTTTTGAATCAATAAAATGTGCAATTAATTTTACATTGAGTTTCGATATTCAAGTAACAATATAATAAGATAAATTTGGCTTCATTTAACCCGAATAGTATTTTGCGTAGTATCTTTAGATAAACCAGTTAAAAAATGCAAGATAATATTTTAAATACCTTAACACAATACAATTCAACAGTACAATTAAAATTAAATATGGTTTGTTTGTTTGTAGTTAGACATAAAGCTACACAGTGGGCTATTCAGTCCTCGGAGAAGACAGAGTAAACTGCATTAATTCATTAGCTAAGTTCCATCCTGTCATGGTGTTTTGGCTAAGATTCAATAAGTATGGGCCCATCCGTGAGTCAGAGCCGTACAACGCAAAAATCCTGGGTTACTAAGAAACCAACAACCATCAACAGAAGCCGAATGCAGCCCACTGTTTCATGGATTTTGTCCCTTTATAGTCCCCCCCCCAAAAAAAAAATCTCGCTGCGCACTTTGGGGCCGAGGGTAGGTTGAATGACGGTCAAATCCTATTATTTGATTAGAGTAGCTCAAGAGTTGGCGGTGAGTGGTGTTTGGTGTTGACTCGATGCCTTCCCTCTAGTCTATCACTTCAGAATTATGGAGGACTAACGCATATAGCCCTCGAATAGCTTTACACGAAAATTCAACAAATAGCAAAAGTAATCCATAAGTAACACAGGGATCGGACTAGGATATTTCGGCTAGAAATAAAACCGAAGTTCTAAACTAAACAAAAGAAAAGTAATTCTAAGTGATCAGGTCATTGTTCTCGATGTGACTTGCCACTGTCTTTTAAGATCTTTGTTTTCCAGTTTCACATATTGTTCTCGATATGACTTGCCACTGTCTTTTAAGATCTTTGTTTCCCAGTTTCACAAATTGTTCTCGATAGGACTTGCCACTGCCTTTTAAGATCTTTGTTTTCCAGTTTCAAATATTGTTCTCGATAGGACTTGCCACTGCCTTTTAAGATCTTTGTTTTCCAGCTTCACAAATTGTTCTCGATAGGACTTGCCACTGTCTTTTAAGATCTTTGTTTTCCAGTTTCACAAATTGTTCTCGATAGGACTTGCCACTGTCTTTTAAGATCTTTGTTTCCAGTTTCACACATTGTTCTCGATATGACTTGCCACTGTCTTTTAAGATCTTTGTTTTCCAGTTTCACAAATTGTTCTCGATATGACTTGCCACTGTCTTTTAAGATCTTTGTTTTCCAGTTTCACATATTGTTCTCGATATGACTTGCCACTGTTTTTAAAGATCTTTGTTTTCCAGTTTCACAAATTGTTCTCGATAGGACTTGCCACTGTCTTTTAAGATCTTTGTTTTCCAGTTTCACATATTGTTCTCGATAGGACTTGCCACTGTCTTTTAAGATCTTTGTTTTCCAGTTTCACATATTGTTCTCGATAGGACTTGCCACTGCCTTTTAAGATCTTTGTTTTCCAGTTTCATAGACTCAGCTATTTAACATGTGGATTATTAACATTTTTTTTTAAACTGGAGAAATCGGAATATGGATATCAGTTATCCGTTCCTACTTGTTTCATTCCAAACTAATCAACTATTCATACAAACTATTGACATTATTTTATAAACCGTTTTTTTTTTTCTGGAACACAATGTGTTAAGCTATAAGCCATTGATTGGATTGAATAAACTTGGAACAAAGACTTTTGTTGTCTGTTTTCTCATAATTATACCTGGCGAAATCAAAATTTTCAGATCTATCGTAGTTAATTCATTGTGGATCAATTCATTGCTGAACAATTAAGAATAAAAATGACCTCTAATGGTTTTTACAGATGTGTAAAAAGATTACTTAGAATTGCAGCATTATCGAACGTCTTTTATATTTTACTCCAAAACAAGTCTTATGATGAAACACAGTATAAATGTAACACGCATTTTTGTGTGTATTTTGTAAAAAAAAAAAAAAATATTAGATAAAGTTTTTCAACAGCTAAGTTTGTTAACAATAAATTTCCTGACAAGCTAGATAGCATTTTTATTTCATTCATTTTGTACTTAAAAGTGAATTACATTTTATGAACACAACATATAGGTTTTTATAAAATGTTGTTACAGGGTTTACATTTACAATTTCGGTGAACTCTACAATATATCATAGTTTAGAGACAATTTAACAGCTCATAAAACAGTAGACAAAAGCCTGACTATGACAGTCGACAGCGTGGCTATTCTGGACAGTAAGCTTGGTTCTGAGAACAAGTGAAAATCAATTGAAGTTAAGTGAACCACGAAAGAAGGCTGTCTCCGATACGACGGCGTACAGGGTTCTATTTATCTCCCTGTGTCATTCGGCACCAAAACTTGATGCCGGCCACTTGAAACAAGTAAAATCTTCTTCGTGTCTAACAATACTTAACTGAATTTATATGGTGCATTTCTATAATAGAAATGGAAAAAAAGTAAGTGAGAGAATGGAGCTTTTAAGAAGAACAATTACAAGACTAATTGAGAATGACAACGCCTTACTGTGAATTATTTTTCAAGCTGTTAGTTATTTCGAATTAATATCATCGTATGATCAAAAATTTTTTTTCTTTCTGTTTTTTATTCAAGTTTGGACCTCGACATATTTTTCGTGTATTGATAAACATTCTTAGATATTTTGAGGTTCAAATGTCATCATTTATTTGCTTTATCTTATTAAGATCACTTTTAAAATAAAATTTCTATGCAATCATATCTTAAAAGTTGTGAATTTGGTCTGTTTTTGAGTGTCATATTTTGCTATCTTTTAAATATAATGACATTCGTTATCTTCTTTCACCAGGCACACACCTTTACAGCATAGCATCGACCCTAATTTTTCCAGTAAACCCAAGCCAGATGAGCTATCCACTCCTACCGAACTATCTGTAGGTAAGAGCAGCGTCAAAACTTTTAAGTAATGGTTTTAACAGAGCTGGTGCTGAAATACGTTCACTACATTATCGACCATTCAATATGCAATTCCACCACGAGTAGACTTATGGATGAAGGTGTCTGGCACAGCTCTCATCGACTTAAGGCGCAACGTTAAGCGATGTAAAGCCAATAGGGAGTCTTCAGTGTTTTACATGAAAGTAAATAAGGACAGCAATGATCTTATTCGCAAAGTGAAGGTTATGGTTACAAAATAGTATTCACGCCTCTCCCATAAAAAGAAAATAAACGATAAAGCTGGACATATCATTTGATACCGTTAACGAAATGGTAAACAAATATGTGGATGTGATAAATCCAAATTATCACAAGTCTCGAACGGTTTTCATGGGAAATAAGGCTGAAGGTTCACTACACTTGGACACGTACTTGTAAAGTCCCTGATACAGCTCGAATAAGCTTTTGTCTTGGATGTTACACCCAACTACAGTAGGAAAGTTTAAGGATACCTTATCAAAGTGTTTGGTCTAATATTGTCCTTGCTGTCATTTTCAGAAGTTTATAGTAACAATAAAGACTTACACTGAGCACGATCGATGGTCGAAGAAATAGGTCGAAGGTCACACTCTTATAAAGTACGATTAACCTCAGTAAATAAGTCATGTACGACAAGCTAGAAACTTTTATAGTATTGGATATATCACGATGTTCCTCAGAATTAATTACATATTTTAGACTAATAATTAAAATGTATTTGATGCTCCTCCCAGTTTTCAAATTATTTAAACAGGTATATAATTTTGATACTAATAAGTTGATCCTAAAACTATAATGTATTAAAATATAGTAGTCATGCATCATTAAAACATAAAATGTTTTCATTATATTTTTTTTATATGATTTAAAAACACAGGGAATGGAAAACTACCTCGAAGAAGAGAACTTACTCAATATTATGGGCTTCAAATGGAAGATCCATCAACACATAATATCAAACCAATTTTCAAAGGAGGAAACCGAAACTTAGACTACCCAGTAAGTCAACTCTCAGTCTCACGTGTTATGATAATGGAAGAGCTAAATTGATATATAAATATAGGGCCTGGTTTGCTTTTAACAGTGACAGGCTTAAGGATGTGAAGAAGTAGAGGTTTACTAAATGTTTTCAAATATCTGCTGACTTTTTTAGCTGAAGTCATCTGCTTTTATTGGTTTTGAAAATAGGCGCTGAAGATAGCTATAATGTTGTTTTGAATAATATGCGTTACGTTTCGCGAATCTTTAATGATGGCAGGTTTCTTTAAATACTTCCTATACCATACAAGCAAAAGTGGGAACAGGAACATGATTCACAACAGGAACATGATTCACAACAGAAACATGATTCACAACTGCTATTTTTTTACATTTCACGGCACATCATCATCATCATCATACACGTGTATTTCAACAGTTTTGTGCCAGTTCTTTAGATTAATTTACTCAAAGCTTTCCTTTTTGATATAGTTAAATAAAGTAAAGTATGGAACTGAATAAAGTTTTTGCCAAATATAAGATAACAACCCTCATTTCCAACCCTCAATTTGTGCATTTTACAGCTCAAAAGAAACCAGCGATAATTGTCTCACCTTGCACAAGAAAAACAAAATCTGTATTGGTAGCCAAAGGAGCAATTAAACTCTTAGGCAGGGTATATAAGTATAAGTTAAATGTATTCTAAAACCTATTTTAGACGTAAATTAATTAAGGATATAGTTCACTAAAGTAAACGGTCAGTTGTCGGGTCAAAGTTTCATTCCTATGCTGTGCAAGTAAGTGTAAATATTTTCTTAATAAATGTCTATTTATTGAAATAAAATACCAACCCAAACAAGACCAACACATATATCAAGCATAACTCAACACTAGTCAGTGGGTACTTTAATATAGCAAGTAGGGTTCAGGATCTTGTAATTACCAGTCTGAAGTTGGATTTTAATCCTCAAAATTCAGCTTACTCTCTCTCCAAGTCAAACTGTAAGGTCATTTTATTCTTAGTTTATTTTTTAGTGTGCTAAATGAAAATTGTGTGATATTGTATTCGATTTCTTTTTGTTTTGTAGTTGGATATGTGTGATCCATCCGGATGGGGAAGCGTAATGTCTTCCGTTTGACAAAGTGGAGAATATAGGGGCTATGGTCTCACGAATCATGTCAAATTTAAGTAACTGTACTGTGCTCGTGATATTTCTGCTTCGATTGTAAACTCTGAAGTGCCTGTGTTCCAAAAGACCGAGACGTAAAAAATAAATAGATAAATCGTTCTGGTGTATAATTTCAAAGGTGAACGTTTGAGGTAATTCTGAAGATCGTAACTTGTGTCCAGAAAAAAACATGAGGCCAGTATTTTCTTATTTTTTACTGCTGGCTAGAAGAAAAACAACACAACTTTTTCCAGAAGCTATAAGATGATTATAGTGAAGCTAAAGCTTTAGTTTTTGTTTTTTTCATATTTATTTATTGTATCCAGCCTCCACTGTATAACATTAACCAATTCGTTTTTCTCTATTCTAGTCTATGATAATTTTAAAGAAAGGCACGATACATGTATTCCTTCCTTAAACATAGATCTTAAATAAACATTCATTATTATTATAACATTGTCTTCTTTCAATGGAATGAATAAGCATTTATTTTAGGCTTAGATTATTTTATGAAATGAAATTAATTTAAGTGTATTTTTTTTCTAAATAGCCATCCCGTTTACGGATCCTCTCCTCACAAAGTTAAAATAATACGTTGAAAAGTGTGAAAACTATTAAATGTTCGAAGTAATGAGGAGGTATCAGCTTCAATCCAAATTATCTGTTGTTTCAACACTTAAAGTAATTTACTTCCTTAGTAGAAATTTGCTGTAAAAAGAATGTATAACACCATTGAAACCTAACCTTATTTGTTGTATGCTGCTGACAACGAAGTGTTTCAATTCCAGATTATCAGGCCGGCTGGGTAATTTTTTCTGTTAAATTTGGTTATATCGGTCGTTTGGTCCCTCAGTGAATCAGCGTTAGTTAACCGTCTTGAATTGCTTAAATCCGGGGTTCGATTCCGCTTGGTGCACATAGCGCAGATAGCCCATTCCGCTAAATCAATAATGTACAATAACAACAATATATTTAGTGTAAAACTCCCTGGTGGTAGAACAGAGAAGTTAGTATGTACAATAATACATTACAATAAGACTAGTAATAAACTAAACCATGTTAAGTTTTTTGGCTCAGTAATTGTTTCTAAGAGCTGTAGACTACATTCACGTTATATTTCGAGTTTTAACTTTTACATGTTAACTATAGAACAATCAAATTTAAAATATAAAGGCTTTTCATTATACTAGAGCTAAACCATTCAAAGAAATTTAGCGACAAAATTTTCCTTTATACTGTTCTTATCTGACATAGCATAGCCTGATAGTTAAGTCGACTCCCAATCTGCAGACCGCAGGCTCGAAACCCGTGACAACATGTTGTCTTTTTAGCTGTAGGGGCGTTATAATGTGGCAGTCAATCTCAGTACTCGTTTGTAAAGTGTAACCCAATAGCTGCCTTCCCTATAGTCTATCACCTCTAAATTAAAGACGGCTAGCGCAAATATTCCTCAGATTGCTTTGGGCAAAATACAATAAAAACAAATAAAACTACTCATATTTAACGCAAATATACTTTAGTTAATACTAATCGCCTTCATGACTAAAAAAATGCTTATTCGAACCATCAATAATACAACTCCTTAAATGTTGATTTCAAAACATTAGAACGTTTAATATAATTCGTATTATGAAGTGCTATTGTAAATTGTTGTTATTATTTTCCGACAGTTAAAACCCTATTGAATAGTGATCGATCTACATATAATATTGCATAATTTTAAATATTGATGTTTTATTATTATTATTTTGTCACTTTGAGTTACTCCTTGTCTAATAAATTAAGAATTTTAATTAGAAAATTGTGTTAGTCGAAAAATAACAGTGCAACCAATGTTATAAAGAAGAAGCAATATTGGAAGTGAAGGAAGGAAATTAAATTGGAATTTCAACGAAAGTTTAGTTTGTTGGAAGTGAACATTAAAGAAAATCACTCAGTGCAACATCACAGTAAAAAAAAGAAAAAGGGGGGGTTTAATTTTGTAGTGACGTTAAAGTCTTCTGATTCTACCAAGAATTCGCTTTTTGATAAAGGTTTAATATTTATGTGCTAATCACATTTTTCACTGTAACGAGGTGGAACATTAGAATAATGTTTTAAGACTTCTGAATAACACTTAGAAGGGGGGAAATGATATTTTCTCGAAACAGCACTGGAACGTCATTTACGATCGAGTCACACTGGTTTATGTAAAATATTCACCAAGCCCTCATCTAAACATGTAAGGAGTTGTGCGTCGTTAATTTTTTCACGAGCTTTTTCGTTAGGTTTTCCGACAAAGGTTAAAGCGATTTCTTTCAAATTTGGTAAGTAAGGTAAGAAGGTTTGGGAGATTAGATGAACAAAAAATTAAGTTTTGATTAAAGGGGAAGGCGATAGATAATAAGTTTGGTTGAAAACGCAAAATTTTCATTTCTGTTAATAATACAGTGGGTGTCGTACGGTTTCCTTTGCTAAATTTTGTCCGCACGACACTCTACCGTGTGTTTTGATCATTTGTCGTACGACGCAAGCAGATTATTTAGTGGGCAGAGAGTTTACAGCAGGCCAAACTGAATCTCCCAAACCTCCTTATCTTATTTACCAAATTTTAAAAAAATCCTTTAACCCTTATCGTTTTACAGAAGGCCAAACTTAGCCTGAAATTCTTCTTTTTCGCACTAATGAAAAAAAAAAAACTTCCCTTAAATCGATTTCTTTCAAATTTGGTACATAGCTGGCGTATATGTTTCCTTAGCTTGACAGGAAATTTAATTTTAATAGCTAAAGTATTCTTGGGTCTATGGGCAAAAATAAGCCAAAATTACGCTAAAATCTCTTACATTTTTGCGCTCGCCTGGAGACAAATTAGCTAATTCGACTGTGCTGAAATTTCTACTACACATTAGGATATTCTTAAAAGTGAACCGTTTTTAATTTTATAAAACTTGGAGCGAAATCCGGAAGTTATGAACCCCAAACCAATATTTGCACGATTTTTGCGTACTACTTTGCATCACACTTCAAACTTATAAAAAATACTTTCCGATGCGTGATCGCCTTCGTTTTTGACATAATATCACGTTATCTACTATATAAAACTATACAAGGAACATAATATCTATCGAAAAACAACTTGGCTGGAAAAGGTGAGGACAAAAATAAAGCAAATGAACCCCAAGTTACTGAAGTATTGAAAAAAAAACATTCAAAATTATATCTGAGTATCAAATATAAAAATGTAAAATTTTCAATGCTTAGTAACAAAAGTTTGCATAAAATTTTAATTGCCAATATTTTCTAAATTTGGCCACAAACTTTGAGTTCACACCTTTCTGCCGCATGTTTTTGCCACACCTTTTTTTTATGGCTATGCTGTTTTTGATTAGATACTTAGACATAGTTCAGACATTTCTAGATTTTATTCTCAAAATACGACACACCCTTCACATTCATGCTAACGTTAGGTTTAACCACACTACACACATATAGGAAAACATACACTTTATATTTCTTACCAGGCTCAACTCTAATGATCTAATCCGCTTAAGCGAAGCGTTGGTCTTGTTTATGGATGTTTCGAAGACAAATATTTGCAAAAAGGACTACACTTGAGACTAAATGTTCTTAGACTAGAACAGTAACCTTGTCAAAACAGAGCTGTGAGGAACAGAATGCGTTTCTGTGACCTTGGGGTGATTTCACTTTAGCCAGTTTACTTCGACATTAAGTACATATCTTGGCTGTTCACTTGTGATGTGTAGGTTTCTCATACATATATATTTTTAACGTTAGTCCTAGATCATGGCAACTGAATCCACGTGATGACTCTTCTTTCCCCATTAATCGTGGATACAAAAAAAAAGTTATGATAGTGGAACACAATGCATTAAAAATAAGCATTCTGGTTAGGACGATTCATCCATTTATGTCTGATAAACAATTATTGGTGCCAACGACTTATTTTTCTTTAAATTAGTAATGAAACATTACATTATTTACCTGCTGGTTTCAAACACTAACTTCTCAACCGGTCCATGTCTGGTTACAGTGAGACACGTTACAGTAGTGACTTCATGACTATCGTCGAATCCTTGTAACTGGAAACACATACTAGGCTTACTAAGAATGTGGAGTTTAGTCACATTCCTATGGTTTCGAAAGCTTTAGTTGACACGGCACTACTTTCGTATGTGCTATGTTTCGCCCGTTAAGGCATTCCGTATCTTAAGAATTACTGATATAGATTTTATTTGTTTGTTTGTTCGAACCCCGAATTTTAATCTATCCAGATTTCCAGATTGCTACAAATACGATTTTGCTCTAGTTTATAAGATTAATAAATGTTTATTAACATCATGTTTAAACGTCATTGTACGCCTGTTATAACAATCAATATCAATTCGATTCTTAAATGATAAAGTTAGTTTTATCTCTGTTTTGGAAGGTAATATAAATACGCGTATCTCATTGGAATTATTAATTTCCATTGTACAGTGTGATTAGAAAGGAAATCTGTATTGGAAATTATTGTTCCTTAAAAAACTGAAATTATAGCCCATTACATAGTTTAGCGCTTCACAACAAACAAAATCAACATACCAAATCCAAAACAAACGAAAAGCTAATAGTCATAGGGTTCTTCTGTCTTAGTGATGGCTATTTTTAACAATCATAGAGCTCATTCATGACAAATGATGGTTATTTTTAACAATCATAGAGTTCATTCATGCCAAATGATGTTATTTTTAACAATCATAGAGCTCATTCATGACAAATGATGGCTATTTTTAACAATCATAAAGCTCGTTTATGAGAAATGATGGTAATTTTTCAGGAAAATTTGGAAATGTTACAGTAGGTATTCGGTATGTTTTCCGTCATTCTCAATCTGCATATTAAACCTATCCTCAAGTTAAGCTACTACAAGCACCATCTGGGCAGCATTCATTACTTCTCACAATATCCTGTACTGTGACAAATATTTTATTCAAATCACCAAGGAGAAAAACAAAAAATAAAACAAAAGTAACATCAGTTTGTAGTATAATCTGTTCAATGTTTACTGAATAAAACGTACGCTTCCAAATGTGACTCTCATGCAGTTTTGTTCTCCTAGCTATCACGGAAATTTTGTATTTAAACCAATTTTATTATTATTATCATCCTGTATATTAAGTGCGAGCAGTTGTGTTAAAAATAAATCTTTCATTATTTAAACTACATATGAAATTGGAACAGCGGATTTACGACGACATTTTTTTTTTAAATATCGGAAAGAAAAATAGTGTTTATACATTAACTTTGAAGTGTGTCATATCCTCTTTCCTATTTCTCAATTATTAAAAATTCGAATCACAGCATGCTTCTCTGATTGAGTCTCTGCTCAGATGCACTGAAAAAAAAGGCATTTTAAAGGCCTTGTCTTTCATATAACAAATTCATAAGTATGGTATAGGGTTATTTAAGGCGCGGAAGGAAGTCTTACTGTACACTTTTGTTTATACA